AAGTTTTTTTTAGGTTGATGTGCCCCATGATTTATAGTTCTTCTCAACTGCATGCAATGCGTTTCAAGATTGGTTTTCATTATTCTGCTAAACCATCTGTGCCACAAACAGTCGGGTTTTGTGCACCCCCCACGATCTTATATGATGTCAATCATTTGTTCGTCTTTGATGGTAAAGGGAAACTAATTCGCTACCCTACATTTTGGTTTATTTGGAATCTGAGGCAACGTTCGTGCTGCGCATTTTAATTGGCAAGACAATATAAACGGAAGATTCATTTGAAAACATCACTCAGTTTCAGTGCACAGCCGATGACCGATTTGTCTCGCGTGGACGGATTGGAAAAACAGTGGCCGAGCTAGGAAATTGAAATAACTGTTCGATGACGTGTGCAGCTAATATGTGCAAAGATGGTGGAATGTCTATCTCTACAACTCACGCATTGCAGTGGCGCATTTTGATTACTGGGTGTCATCCAGTTCAAAAATCTAACTGGTAACTATACCCTTGCCTTCCGAGGGCATGAGTCGCAGGCATCAGGAGAAGAACAGAAATTCAACCAACTGAAGCCACACGAAACTGTGATTTTGAAACATCCTACCAGATGAGTAGTTTATAACAGCCGGGCTAGGGAATCTGTTTCTGACCGCAGAAGCGAGAAGCTATTCAACCCACTCAGTCCAACTGTGACACAACCAAGCACGCACGTGATTCTCGCTTAACCCACTGGATAAACTTCTGCGTAGTTGAATGGTCATCTGCAAACCGGGTTGAGGTTGGCTTGAGACTCGCACGAATCTCATATGTAAACCCCAACAAGAAAGTTGTACGGTAGCTGATGCGTTTTTACCTCAGGTGAACACAATACCGGCATTTTTGCACTTTGTTCTAATCTTTTTTGGCCTTCTCCAAACGAAAGCTGCAAGTAGACTCGGTAGCCTGTTGCTCTATTACGATCGACGGATCCGAATACCTTGAATCACCCCAAGGTATTAACTTGCAAGCCAACGGCGGAGCTCGGTCAACAGATCAGCTTCCACCTGGTCAATATCTAATCAACGAAACCAGCCTACAATTATTCTTACTACTTTGGTCGTTGCACGCTCAAGAAGAGTGGTCACAAAACGCCAGGGTTTTTGTTTTGGACAGGCCTTCATTTTTCTGTTAGCCCACAATCACGTAGTCCTCTATTTGTAGTAGAGGTCATCTCTCATTGATGAATTCTTCTGCCGATACAAAGGCCTACCGGGCGTGACCTGAGCCACTTAGCAAAACAAAAACTGGTCATAGAGGAGTCCGCTGGCGGCAAACGTCGAGTAAAAATGCAACCTGTAGACGGTGCACAACCTGTTTTGCTCATCTAGGGGCTAATTAGGTGAGTGCAATCGCCGATTTTCCACCAGTGTTGCATTCTCACTGAACTTGAGTTGAATAAAATTAAACAAGTACACTCATTTACATGCCAATTTGGTTTTCATGAGGGACTCACTTGAAATCCAGTTTGATCCCTTGCTTGTGATATTCTTCAGCAACCTTGTGAGTAGTTTGTCCCATGAAAATATACTCCTTGAAAACCAAATTGGCATTCGAATAAGTGTATTGACCAATGAAAAAAAGTTATTATCCGCGGCCGCACCAGCCCGAATGCCAGAACAATTACAAAGCATGACCAGGTTAATAAAACGTGGATAATTCTATTTAAGAGAACTTAGATTCTCTATGGTGACGGGTGATCACTTTGGGTTTGGCCAACCGAGTGAATAAGAATATTGGAACTCATCCATTTTTCGCAACAAAACTTGCTAACCTATTTTCCCTTAGTTATTGTTATCAGTCCAAGGTGGAAGGCAGGTGGCATTTTGGTGGAACCTAGGGTCACTGACTGTAAGAGTTTGGTGTAGAAGGTTTGATGGGGCACAGTCTGGGCGGGACTAGAACGACCCTGTCAGCGAATAGAAGCTATTTCCAGAGGGACCCCTTTGTATTACACGCATGCGTCAAATTTATATTTTGGCTGGTGAGTAAAGTACGAGCTCATCAAATGAAACCCGTAGATTTCAAAGTGTTGGAAATAAAGAACGGATGCTTGCAATTCAAAGCGATTCATGAAGATCAAACGATTTTGGCAGCCACATAAATCATGGATTTTGGTCGACCCGATTAATAGATATTCTCTTAAGGTTCCTAGGTGGTTCTACTCAAGGGGACTATTGTAACCGGCATTTCGCTCGGCATCACAAACTGCCTACAAAAACAGTGTCACAATGGTGATCACGTTATGTCATTCCATTCATGACTGGCTGACCAATCCCATAGGGTTCTTTTGGTCACAGTCAGCCGCCTGTTCACCACACACAAAGTGGTCATCATGCGGTAGATAATCTTTAAAGTTCAATCACTGGAATGAACTGACCAAATTAGGAGAATTACTTTGTATCAAGATTGTGCCAACATATTAAGACAACATGGGTTGAATGAATCATTCATTTGCATACTGAATCAATCTGAATGTGAGATTCACGCAATCTCCGAATGAGCAGTGCACCAAAGGCCGTCTCAGGTTAAAACTAATCGATACTCATGAAGTCGCGCGTTGTCCAGCGTATCTGAAGGCTACGTATCACGAATAAATTTCTTTGCCTCGGAATAATACGACCAGCAGCTACCATTGGCCAGGTCAAGTTAAAACGAAGATACTTATTTGCTGGTCGATCAATACTGTAGATTGTGCTTTCGGCACAGACAACGTAAATTCCTTGGATGAACTTTCGTGTGCTAGCTCTCTTCAGACTAGAAAGAATACTCAGGCGCAGGGGTCACCTCTCATCCACAGAAGTTACAGTCTGTTTCACATTCCAGAGAAGCGTGTGAGATTGTCAGTGTAAACGAGGTGTTAATAGCAACCACTCCAGTAACGCTTCCAGTCCCGTAAAGAGATAATATGACAAAAATTAGTGCAGAAAGCCGCTTAGACGCATATACCTTATAGATACATGAAAGTATCACCAGGTCGAACAAGCTACAGTTTGTATTTTACCTGTGGTTCATCGAACAAGTGTGTCCAAACCCTCAAACGGTAGTTTAATCAGTGTGCACAGATAGTTGGAAGGTGTTATATCGAACTACTGACCCCGCTCCACTGCCTTGTTCCAGAGGAGAACTCACCGACAAGGGTACACAACAACTTTATTCCAAACAAGCGAGTGCGTGCGAGTGTAAATGCTACAACGCCCCCGCGCTATTTAAAGAGCACATTCTGACATTGATCCAGGCTGTCTGACGGGCGTTTAGTGAACATCCATCGACGTTGATCGTGCTTCTGTGAAATGCCCGAATGCTGATCACATTCGGTCGGGCTTCTTTGGCGTGCTTGAACATTTATCAGCTTTTGCTGAATTGGTTGGCCTAAATACTTGCCGGCTTTCCTATTAAGATTTAGGTGGAGTTTTAGGGTCCCAATAGGCTCTGGGGTTACTTTCAGGAATCTGACCTTCCTGATAGAAGGTAATAATGTAAAATTTGGAAAATGGAACTATCGAAGGACAAGCACAGAAGGGTGCTTGACATTCCATTCAGAGAAAGAATATAGTGAGAGAATACCCATTCGACAAAACAGTGCTAACAAAGAGATGAGTATCACAAAAAGAGGAAAAATAGTGTACTGCAACAATCACACAAGTTAGTCTGTCCCTGAAGATCTCTACTCTAAGCAAAAATATGACATGGCTGAAGAGCATCGGATAAGCAATTAAAATCGCGTGAGTCGGATGCACTAGGGAAGAAAAATCGAGCACGTGGATTTTATCGTATTCCATATCTGTGAGATGGATGACATTTGGTGTCAACAAAGATAGAGACGGATTTTATAAAGTTAATGGTAGTGTATGGGTATTGGGTAATTCTCAGTTGAGATTTTATCCTGCTAGTGGAGCCAATCCACGTTGGGATACAAGGAGACACTATACAACTGTTTCATTTTCATTGGGAATCATCGGCGGTGATCACCTCACGAAACTCGCAGCTTGTAATTAGAATATATAACGCTTCGGCCACGAGCGGCTGGCCGGCAGTGTGATTAACTCCCAATTAGACAGGATATAGCGCCATTCATCCTTCAACCACGGGATCCACATCACGTGGTCACAAGTGTTGACTGGCTGCTCGAGTGACGAGTCATAGAGACGACTTTTTGACTTATTGACTGGATTCTACCCTTTCCCTGAGCTACCCACAGATTGTTAGTAGTATGATTTCCGTGAATGAAGGCTGAGTGGAGCTGCGCGAGGGGCAGTGACACTTTTGATCAGCCGCTCATGGCCGAAGGACTACGTGTTCATCCAGTGACCACGGGCTCGAAACCCCCTGAGTTTCGCGAGACACAATTTGCTAATGATTTACAATAAGGATGAAGCAGCTGTACAATGCTTTTTGACCTTTCAGCACAGGTTTGTCCAACAGGATAAAATCTCAATTTACGTAATCGGTCTCGAGATAAAGCGATAGAAGGAGAGAAGAAGATCCACTAAGTCGACGTACATTCTGGCAAACGTACACACGTCTTAACCTTAGCTATCAGCGTAGATCTATAGACAGGCTTCAATGCGATTATTGTGACGTAGATATCCCAGTCAAGAAGACGACATGGGTTGCTTGCAGTGTGGAGGAACTGAATTGTTTCACAATACAGATTCAGAGCAGCACTCGACCGCACAAATCTTTAACAAGCAATCCGTTTCGTAGGCTAAAAGGTTTTTTATTTACCCGAGTTCCATGCTTTCTTTACCGTGAGTTCAACTCAAATGTCCTAATTTGCTCGCAGCAGTACATTGGCACTGTAGACGCTAGGTTACTTTGCTGATGTCTGAACCACACGAGAAAAAAATGCGGAATTATTCCGAGTTAATCAGCACACCAAAGTGCTTCCTCTTCCGTGTCACTCTGTGTCTGCTCACATCGTGTAGATGAAACTCACAGCTGTTTCTGTATCCACCCGGGAGGTGATGCGTAGGTAAGAACAGAGAGGGATGCAATATAATTTCTTAGACGGGGACATTTCTCTGGAACAGGCATCAAAACTATCTCGTAGAAGTTCGAGATCTGTAGATCCAGCGGAATCCTTACTATGAGTTCTCCCTAAGAGCTAGTCTATTAATTGCAACCAACCTGCCATTCGTTAGCAGACAGCCTGATAAAAAAACGTCCCCTATTGGTCACCACATTTCGTTTTCGGAATCTTTTTGATCCTGTCGAATTGTTGCTCAGTGTATCGAACGTCCTCTCCGTGCGATGAATCACAGCTGATTTGGGTTGGTTATGGTGTACCATATGTTGCTGACATCGTTCCGTTGATGATTCGCAGCATTCAATGGTATGTTTTGGGTTGTATATTTCTGCAGTTTTCGGATCATTTAGACAGGCGAAAGGCGATCAGCTGTTCTCAAGGCCGCTGTTCTGTTCAGATGAAGCATGACGATGGGCAAGGTGAAAAATAGCATGACCTTTTGAGTATCCAAGTGCAAAATCTTCTTATAATGTCACAATATCGCACCCCATAGACTAGTATTCTTTCAGGTTGGCTCCAAATAAGCGACAGTACCGTTGTGAAACTGAGAAGCCTCGGCTGGTCAGTCCAGTACACAAGAACAACTGACATGGAAAAGCACCGTCTGACCATTCCTAGTCAAGCACGTGAAGAATTTGAACCTGCATTTTTTACTTCTAACCGTACCTCTTCGCCGTCATACTAATCGCACCACTAAGGTTTGATGATCATTTCTATACGACGGTCAGGTAGCTCTCCGCAAACGGTTGTGCTTAAAATGGACACATACATTAGGGCTGAAGATACTTATTGTGGTCTGTGGGCGCTATCGGAACCTGCAGGGCTACTTGATGCACATCTACCAGAGTCTGAATCAGTAAAACGATCGATGCTACCGCGTTCATAATCGTTTTCAAAACACCAACTCTCAACCATTCTCACCAAACCCACCTGTTTGTCTGTTCGGCAGACCAGACTGCTCCGTCATCGTATGTTTGTTTTGTTTCTACTCTGGTGGTGTGCGGTTTTTCATCCGATTGCTTCGGGATTAGGTCACCATAGACGACTTATCCAAAGGAAAAATCGAGTTGGAAAACGTGCCCTTCAAGGTGTCTCCCTTGCCAAATTTCTCAATGAAGTGGAAAAGTTGTCTTGACCGGAGAGTTTCAAAAGCAACCCCTCATTCGAGGAATTGTTCAAGTTTCTCATAACTTAGAAGTATTGTAATTTATGCTATAATTTCGGTTTTTGATTTCCATATTTAAATTTATATGCAACAAAAGTACATCCATTTTTTCGTACGCTCGTTTACGACCTTGGAAAACATGCCATTATTAGTTGATCAGGTTGCTCCGTTTGCCGAGCTCAGCATTTGACTTGTAAAGTTTCAACTAGATTCCTCGTCCATGATTTCCCTCAACTGAATGTATTGCACAACGATAACCTTATATTTCACGTGGCACGACAGTGGAGAAATCACAATATACTTGCTTGACAGAACATACCACTCACTTTGTTGTTCAAATAGGACGTAAGGATGATGGACGCTCTCCCACTGTGCTTGCATGGTGAGCCCCGAAAATGACGAAACCTGTCGTGGGCTGTCTAAGAGCTTTCAGTAACCTAATAAGTGATGTGTTAAACCAGGCCTGAACATAACAGCTTTGTTACGAACAAGCCAGTGCAAGTTTACAAGAAACCTGGCGGGGTTTAAAGCATTCTTTTGACACTGAATCAAAGCTGCCCTGTCGGCGTTGGCTTGCGTTGCTTTCAAGGAATACCTGAACATAGTAGCACCGTTCATCGTCAACGACTGGCTTCTTGAGCGCTCAGTCGGCACTTGACCTTTCTGGCCCGGAGACTCGACGGTCCCTGTGGAGCGATATCGGTAGAGTTAGCTATTCCAAGTAGGCTCCGGATACTCCGGAGGAGCTATTCGACTTCTGATGTCGTCCTCTTAACTAGGCAACACATACTGGGCTTGAATCAAGTTGAGCACTTTCGCTATCCCGTAGTACGTGTTCGTCTTCCCAATTGTTAGTCGCATGAGCTACCACATGAGTATCCTAACAACTTCTTTATAGTGTGGGGTGTTTCTGTTAGTAACGATCGATGAATGAATTTTTGGAATGTCCAGCACATTGACGCCATAATCTTGTCCGTAAACTACACATTTAATGGTCTTATATGATTGTCCAATATAAGTGACGCAGTTTTATCCACTTCCACTTTACACTCTAAAAGTGTTTGCTTAAATGCTACGCGAAATTTCGTGATATGCTATGATCTGGCATCGCGGTGTCATGATGCTTACCAAAGGAATTGTCCGAAAGTTCTGTCATCTTCAATGTACTCAAGATAAAGGACGGTACCGTACTAATTGGTTATATTGCTCGTGCGATTCCTAGGTGTCCACGAATACTGTAGTGCAATTAAACCAGTAGAATGCTTATTTTGTGTGCCTGACTAAAAGATAGCGGTGATTGTTAGCTCTATATTGTGCCTGTCCTTATCCTATCTCGGTTTACTACATGAAGTATCGTCCGGTTTTAGATAAAAACGGATCTTGACATTCTACTCCTTCGTATCAAAACAGACCAGGAACATTTCCGGTCAGATGAATTCACGGAAGGACGCCTTCGTCGAATGTGGCCAGCCTGGAACGAAGGTCTGAAAACCTTAAAACAATTGGTTGGTGAATACAACTGCTCCCCGAAGCATGCAAGAAATCCATGCTTTCAGAAACAGGCCAGGTTGAACGTAAGTAACAAGACCTGCTTGTGAAGAAGATAATTTATCAGAATTTTTTCACCGCTTTGCGATTATTTCAGAAATAGGTTATTTAAATAATTATCCAGTATTCCGGTTGGCATGAATGCCTTTTCTACAAGTAAAATGAAATCTTGAGTTAATTCATTCTAAATCGTTTCTCGTGGTTCACTGATGTGCGGAAAAACTGGTTAAAAAAGGCTATTACTAAAAAAAAGAAGTACAAAATCCTATTTTCAGATAGCTGCTTTTTATCAGAACGTGCTAGCCAGGAAAAAAAAGAAGTACAAAATCCTATTTTCAGATAGCTGCTTTTTATCAGAACGTGCTAGCCAGGCTTCAGTCCATGGCCGTTATTCACCACCGTGCATGTGGAACTTCTTTTCTGCTGTCCGTTACCAGGTGCATTCAAAACCCGCACTCGCAGTCGGTTTATTCTATTTTCATCCGACCTTGATTTTAGGCTGATTTATGAGTTGAGCGAAAACGGGACAGCAGCGTCATGTCCTTTCTACGATCAATTCAGGTATTACATCTGGATAGGCTCTCATTGGAAGCACGGGAGGTACCAAGAAGTCGGAAATACTTCAGAAGAGTTTCCACGACTTAAGTGAATCGATGACAGGGTGGGCGTATGAGGTTCTTGCTACTTTCGCTGCTACATAATCTCCGTATGGAGGGATTTAGCTTTCATCATCGTCAGTGTGGCTTACTCCCTGGCTGTCTTGGTCCCAACTGCTAATTTTTCCCTGATAAGTATTCATGGGGGTGGAATAGCTGGAGAACTTTGCCCAGCACCTCACAGGTGAACATTCATGCTCTGGAGCATATTTCTTGCCAAAGAAGTATTACAGTCCTTGTTTGGAGACACCGGTAACCTGAGGTGATAGAGGCTAAGCAAAGGTACTGTACTGCCAAATAAGTCATAAGTAACTGAGATAAAGACAGTTGAAATACACTAGGAGATGCTCAGTATGTTTAGCAATATTCTTCAAACGACTCGAATACAAAGACCTCTAAGGAGTCCCCCAAGGGATGTTTGTCAATCAGGAGTAGGTGATATTCGGATAAACCAGGCTCTACTGCCTTACACAATATTACGAATTTGATCGTAAATATTCACGCCAAACAGAACCTTCTCAGATTACACATCATCTCAGAGTTCAAGACCGAAAGAAGGATGAAGGACGTGGTTTTTCGTTTGCGTCTAATTGCTAGAAATTTTAAAGTGCAAAAGTTAGGACCCTGTTAATTATTAGAACTCCCCACATGACTACAATGAAGTAGCACACAGTCTTACGGTATTCTCTCGAAATCAGTGTGACAAGTTCATGTGGATTGGCCGTAGCATCAAGTTTTGATAGTGATTTGTAAAAATTATTGTTCACTTCTGTGAGATTCACGAATGATGTGTTTAGCAATGAAGCCCACCAGTTTAATCGAAGCGTTTCGGGCGTTTTAGGCACTGTACGGTGCGCTGTCTCCCTATTTCCGTACCATCTTCGGAAACCCTTGGGACATCAACCTAGCAGCACTGCAAACCATGTCTGGATTATATCCACGGCATTCAGTGTATCGTCCAAGTCTCTTACTTGTTTTGTTAAAATAAACCGAGCATATTACCAACCCAAGGCACCAAGTATGACGTGAGCTCTTTAACCTTTTTGTCCAGAAGTAATATTCCGTTGTTTGTCCACGGTGGAACGACCGTTTTACAGTACAGTAAACCAATACTTTAATAAGGCTTTTAGGAACTGAGACCGCGCGAAAACCGAAATGTTCAGGGAAGTTTACTGGCGTCCATCTTCAACGGAACGCATTGGTATTACACGACAGGCTCTTATTTTTAAGCTGAGTAAATTGATTCAAACAGCATATCTGAAAGAAGCACGTTAAAAACAAAAATACACTACTCTTTTTTGTGCGAATCCAAATCCAGCATGGCCATAGTTACGCTGGTGATGCCGTACAGGAAAGTATCACGTGACACATAATCATTGCTCAATGAGGAGACATTTTGGATGTCTCATCTTCATGCTGTAATAACAAGGAGTTGCCTTATTGGAATGGAGTTCCTGATGACGGTTTTGAGCATCAGCTATGAAAGTATCCTGTTCAAAGTTTATAGCCATGGGCCATTAAAAACTGAAACAGCCGCAGTTGCCAGTTTGTGAGTAACTGGGATTTTCCTAAGTTTCCATTTGTTACTTTATCCAGAGTATCAAAGGCATTTCTTGTTGGAACACCGTTATCGTTACTAACTGATCGTCAACTAGAGCTAAATCTTTGGAGAGAATGTGTGCAACTGTTCCGGAAAAATAGTGATTTACTGACGCACCGGCCTCTCGTTCAGACCCGTTCCTCACCCCCAAACTTTCAGTTGTTCCATATAGACCAAAATGGACTGGTGAATTGTGTTCCATTCTGGTAAAATTTAGCGCAATTATTTCTAGCAGAACAGTGCATTTCGGGACCATGGCTTATGTAAAATTATGAGTCGTAACGTGTTGAGATTTAGTCGATGATCTATCGTTGAGAATACCGATTTACTCTCCTTCTCTCACTTTACAGACGTTTCGAATTCGATTCAGGTGGAAGTTGTATTCATGTGGACTACTTGTTATCCGTGCATCCGAGACATTTTGCATGGTGTATCATGCATACAGTATTTTAAGGGTTTTGGTGCCTATTCTCGCAAGAGTGTGCATGAAATTTCAACGAAAAAGTGATCAAGGGAGTTTTGGAATAGATTCGAAAAACGGCTGGCATTAAATGGGTCTTCCGTTTGGCGCAAGGGATGCCAGTGGCAGGAAGAAGGCGTTGGGTTGCGAACTGGTTTGCTACGGCACGCAAACAAAGCAGGATACTAAAGAGAATATTTAAGAAATTTGTCATTCTTGGACGAGTTTGAAAGCATGACATCAACGAAAGGACATGTGGAAACTGATCAATATTTTTGATTCACCAGTCAGTTAACTGCAGGACGGTTTTTGGAACTACAAGCAGATATTACTTTACGTTTCTTCAGTACAACAAACCGTTACGCTATTATTCTTTAGTTGTAAGCATCGCTCAAGACTCGAAGGTACTCTGCTTCCCCGATTTTTGTTTTTCTTTCTAGGTTCTTCTGCATATGGGCCTTCTCACACTTCAGAGTTCTCTCGGCATTGAAGAAAACATACGAAACGGTGGGCTGATAAATGTTCTTTAATATAGATTCACCACATCCTCAGGAGGTTTGTGAATTTTTATTTCAGATTTATGCAGATGGGGCATTGTCAGTTCTGAAATTGTGGTGCTGTATGCTGTGAAGATCACTAAGCCTGAGTCAACAGGCCGGTTCACATGCACCATTAGCATGATGCAACATTACAGAGTTAACCAATCGGCATACGAGAACGCACCACTAGAAGAAAATAATCGAGAATTAACCAACATATTCTAACGGAGGAAACCATCGGTTATCGGAGCTAGCTGTGGAAACAGTGGGATAGGAATGATTGAATGTGAGACAGTATTGGCCAAGGTCGTCTGGGCGTGAAGCAAGAAGCGCACCAATGAGCCAATGAGATCCACCTTGAGAACGACCAATCATCGTTGGACAGCCCAGTTGGCGAACCCATGCAAAGGGTTGCTCATATACCGGTTTACAAATGTTTGGCTTCGCACTGACAACGTCACCTGGTTTGGTTGCGAAGCTTTTACAAACTAATCGCCTAGATATCTACACATTATGAACGTTCTTATCGATGAATTTCTGTTTAATTTTTCAAGTCTAACTGTCGCTTGGGTACCATACAGAGGCTCATCGGTAGCGTGTACGAAACGTCTACCTTCCGGTGTCTTTATGAATGCTCCCGGCTTTCGATTCCAGCAGTATGAGAACGCTCATCTACTTGGGGCTACTTTATTTTATCTTAAAATCCCAATCATAAAACCAAAAAAAATGCACCTTTCCGCACTGACAACCATCGTTATTCTTCACGTCTCAACAGGTGGTCCCCTAGGGGAATTAGTTCAGTGGACAGATCTGATTGCCGGAATCTACCTACTTGGGCATAATCTAACAGTATCAAAGTCCACAATGCAAACAAAATCGTGAGTTTAACTGGTAGAGTAAGCTCATCCCCCAATATACCAATTCACCTGTAGGTAGTAAGAAAAACTATACTTACGCTTACATTATTCCTGTTCAAAATCAATCTTTCTCATGCAGTTATGAATTTATTCCCCGAAGAGATGAAATTGTTCTATACGTGTTAGGAGCACTTGTTTGTCATGGTAGAAGGTAAGTTAAACAGTTTTTTTAATTTGGAATTTTGAAAAAGTAACCCATCAGCTAGAGGAGCTAGTGGAACGGTATCTATTCAGCCTTCTTTGGTCAACCTCGTCATTAATAAGTCCTAATATTATTGGTGGAACTGTGAAGAGCCTCACCACAGACCATTTTGCACAACCGATGTCAGACCTTTGTTTTTACCCTGAACGACTGGAATATTCTTTTTTCATCATGAAGCTGTGCATAGTTCAGTTTGTGGAAGACGCTCTTGAAATAACCGGGCTAGATATGCTTCTAAATCGATTTATCTTGAATTTTCCGACGACAATGTTGACATCCTGCATTTTTAAAATATAGTATGAGATCACTCTCAATCTTTCGTGACTGCAATAGCAGCAACAGTATGGCCTCGTTTCTCCATCTGACCGTAGCCACCAAATTATGGTACTGGATGTGGCTATTTGATATTCTGAACAAAGTTTGTGTTACAATAATCTGTCTTTTGAACTAGGTAAATAAGTATAAGCTTAGAGCGCTAAAACTTGACTGGTGCTCACTAGAAGGCAAAAATTATTTAGCTGCAAAGATACATCATCTTTAGGTCTTTAGGGTACGAAAAATGGAGCACAATCTAGAAAGTGCAACTTCAAAATTCCATATCACTCCGATCATTAACGTAGTTTTGACGGAGGACTGACTGTAAAACTATTGCGTGCTTTTCGTTCGGTGATCAGTCCAATGAAAAATCAAGTGAAAAAAGGTTCAGTTTTATTCTCAAGTATATTTTTCACTGCTTTTGAGAAGCAGCTACTCCGCGTAACGATCGCATGGAAACCCGTAGTGACGAAAAATCTGTTGCTATTACAACCTCGTTCAGTGCTTTTCCGAGAACAATGTCCTAGCATCGCTAACTGATGCATCTTTGGAGTGCTTTTCCACGATGATGCGAATGTTGCAAGATAAATACAGCTAAAATTAGATCGAGAGTTTGAACTGCCCCTTCCATGATATACACGCTAAAATGGATCATGCTCGTCGCATCAGTTCATGGAATTGTGGCCATTTTAGGGCTTTCGTGCTTTGGTCAGCCACTATTTGATATGGCCTCACGACAGCCGGTCATCTTGATCGACCATGTACCATGTGAGAAGCACTAGATTCGACTCCTGTACAAGGTGCCCGGTCGAGTCGCAGCTGACTGAATGTAAATCGCACACGAAAAGCACAGCTGTTTTCAGTTAACCAAATTCCAATCCAGACGCAACGATCCGACGGGATAAGTAACTTTTACCGAGAATATTTTCCGTTTGTCTGTTTTTGTTGTGTTCTCTGGCGTTGATTAAAAAGGACTAGTTTAACTGTTTAGTTTATGCATGCAAATGTTTCTTGAAAATGTTGTAAAAAGACTCGACTGGCAGTAAACAGCCGCCCGAAAAGTGGCGTTTGATGAACAGAGTGAGCATGAAATTTTGCTTCTGGGTAGATGTCACATAAATGGGTCAGCGGAAGCAGCAGAAATCCTACAACTCCTCATTTGGATTGCAGCCTAGTGGAGGCTCAACTTAATGCGTATTCGTTTTTTGTTCTTTTTGGTCCGTGGTTCAAACCCCATCTCGGCTTGCGCAACGTGGCAGTCTCCCGGCCCTCATACTTCTTTCTGATGGCATGGCAGTTAGGCTGAGCAATTTTTTTTTGGTGCGGAGTGGCTTGAATCTCCCCAATATAACTGCAATTTTATTCCCTTTATTTATTTAGCTACTTGTCACAAAATAGTCAGAAATGCGTCATATGATTTTGCAGACAGAGATGATCTCGTTCCGACTAGGCATAACACATAATTTTGAACCGAAATCACGAAATTAAACCTTGTTATTCTGGCTTTGGTCACTTTATTCTGGGTTGTAACTACTTTTCTGCAAATTTATGAACTGTCCAATTCCAATAAATTCACAAATAACATCTTGCCTTGTGTTTCATCCATTTTAGGATATTGGAATCAGTCGGATTTGCCCCATGTGACAAAGCAGAAGGAAAACTACACGTAATTTTCACCGATATTCGGGGTTATCGTGAAATTCGTCGAATGAAACTCAAGTAGGTTCGGAATGGAGTACGATATTCCCTTCCATTCGGGTATTTGTGTTAACGGTGTGCCCCATGAGTGGTTCCACCAAGCAGTTCGCTCATCACGTCCACTATTTGGCTGGTCTTAGCTGACAAGACAAATACAGACCATCAGTTGAGCTTGTTCATGGCTTTCTCCGCTGTTCATCTGTGGTAGTAGTCTCCAAAACATACAGCAAACTGTAAACAATTCCTCACGCTACTCACAAGGTTGCTGAAAACTCTTGAACAGCCCACGACGAGATTCAGTTTAATCTCCCGTTTAAACCAAATTGATATGCGAATGAGTGTAGGTGTCGAAATTTCTCACGCTGTTCAAAGTAAAGCACCCTCTTCCTCTATGCCTAACAATCAGCATTCATCCATTCTTGTCCAGTTTGAATCGTTGCGTCAAGCACAGGAGAGAACAGTTTAAACGGAAGGTGTGCTGCGACGTTAATGCTTGCGAGTCTAAAAAAATTAAGCTGAACACTCGAGGTGAACAGAATATCGAGAAAATCTCTTCACGTCAACATCGGTCAATAAGTAGCTCAAAGTAAGAACAAGTTCACATGATGAATTAAACTTTAACATAAAAAGTCGTTCCTTGAGGAGCCAGTCAATAGGTAGCTGTGTGATGTGATTTCGGTGATTTGAAGATGGTTGGCTGATCAACAGCTTGTGGATGAAGGGTTAAGTGTTCAAACTTCAAGCCGGGTGGTCGCAGGTTCGGGACACTCTGGAGTTTCGTGAGATGCGCATTACCAGGTTTAACCTGTTTTCTAAATCTTTCAGGGCGGATTTCTCTGATTACTTTGAAAAGTCTATCGGTTGCGTTCTAGCTAATATGTGCACCATCAAAACCAGTCAACTTTATTGGCACTCGAGGTTGTTTACCTTGGCAAATGTACTTTGGTCACTGAAGAAGGTGGAAATTCAAGAAATTAACGTTACATTACCACGTACTTCAAGAAGAATATATTGAAATAGCTTCTCAGACATTCCTTCATATTCGTCACTTGCTAAATGACGGGAGCTTATATTAGACGCCAGTTGTGTACCGGGTCCTGCAAATGATTGACTTGGAACAAGGCTACTGGGACTAGACCCGCAGAGGCCATGCCTTAGCAGCTTTATTCAGCTGCTATACAATAAACTAGAGGCATAACGAATGTCGTTCCTTGAGTAGTGGTAGCAGTAGTATCAGAATGCGCATCCCATTCAAACGAATTTGGTTCTTTCTATTCATAGAAAGATGTACGGTCCACATGACATTCTACCGGGGTGGGATAGTATCACACAATAAATGAAAACTTACGACTGCAGTATTTTTGTAGTTTTACTGTCGGAAATGGTAAGTTGTTTGTGTTTGGTACCCCAGAACAGGGTCACACATACGGGCGCGTTTTTCCCTTCTCATTGTAAATCAGATGGCCTTAGCTTCATCCATATTGTTCTTATTCCTTCATTCAGTCCGCCCGAATGCATGTTTCGGATCTTGGATTCTTTTGGCACACATAGTCAATATAATCGGAAAAGCGATGAACCCTATGGTGGGCTGAATCTCAACCTACAGCAATTCTATACATTCTTTCGTAAGCTGCCGTTAGCGTCCTTTTTTCTATGATGTAACGTACAATTTGTACTCTATTGGTATGCTACGCATCACATTGTTACATTAAAGTACGGTTTGTTTTAAAACAGAGCTTATCTTCACATGCAGGTTGATAGATCACTTATTCAAAAGTTGCACTATATTATATTATTATATTGTTATACAGTATATTATATATACCACCATATTACAATTCTTCCCACTATTTGGGATAACTAACAAAAATTGCAGCCGGTGACACGCTAGTGATCGCACACAAGGAAAGTACACTGAAAGTGTGTTAGCTTGTTAATCCGAGGAACACAAAAAACAACTTCAGTGGTTTCACACCCTGATAGCATCAGGATCAACTGACTGGACCGCGGTCAATCGGACCACCGAACGAAAAGCCTGGTGAAGACGAAGAGTGCCGGCTACAAGCCGTATATCCCGTTCCCGGAACTAACCAGCTGAGGAATTTTCAATGCGAATTCCCAAAAGTTACAGTAAGTTCAGAAAAAAATATGTGAAACGATGGAGGTTCAATTAAAGCCCTGTTTACGCAAGTAAAGGTTAACTGAGTTGTTTGTACAATGAACCAGGGCCTGCCAGATGTTCGCAACCGATCGAAAATGCTTAAGTGAAGTATGGCTCAGTCCAATATTACAAACGAGAGCAACGGAGGAATTTTCGATGGTGCGGAAAATTTTGACTGCCAAGGAGAGACAAGTGCAACGAGAAAATTCGGGGTATAAGCCATAATCGCATTCCCAGAAAACCTGCCACAAGCCAGGGCTGTACTAGTCGCTCAGTTGCAGACAATTTTCGCTAATCACATTCCTCAACAAAGTTCTAGTTGAAGAAGCACGTAACCGGTAGCCACATTTATCCACACTTTGTTTGTCTGTTTTTAGCACCTGTAATTTGAATGGATTTTCCGTTTCGCCGTGTTCCTCTGACCTATGCAAACTCAACTTTTCTTGAGAACACGGTGCATAATATCCGTCATTTAGAAACATATGACTTGTGACCCCTACAGTACGTCTTGAGATGATCAAAACTCCCTTTTGCGCTGTCTAGTTTCATCGGTTGGGCCTTTTTATGTCAGATAACTCATCCTAAATCATATGCCACTTACAGTTCTCAAAAGAGTCGTAGAATTTGCTTCTTCTATGAGGTTTCACCGTAATATATTCATTGACTGTGCTTGGCGCGATTGGTTTTCTAACGTTTTTAGGTTATTTCAAGCGAATGCGGTGAATGAATATCCTAGGGAGGGTCACTCACTAAGATAGTATGAACTATTCAGATGAACATTTCGTGTCCATGAATCCAAGACTTCCTACTTACTGTGCTGAAAAATGATAGTACATACAATCGCTTATGTGACAAGGACACTCTTTCTCTGCATT